TACTTTTCTATATTTCTGAATTCAGAGATCAAACAAAGATGATTAACCCACATTCTAGTTATAGTGATTGAAAATACACGATGTAAAATCTTGGATTGCAGAAAACAAAAAATTTACCTCAATTTCACTGCATTTTGCAAGACAGGGAATAATCAAATGGTATATAACAATCATGCACGTACCTGCACTGCACTTTCAACTGGATTCCAAATATCTTGAGAAGAGTATGCATCTAATTATATTAGAATTATATAGTCATTAACATAGTTTATTAATTAACATAAAATTACAGAAATACTCTCACTTATGAGCAGAGATTCTCAGTAAGTGTCTTTGATTTTGACCTTCAGAACAGTTTTGATACCAAAGGTACCTTCCCAGTGTTCAAAAGGAAACATCATTACCTGATTTATCCCAGTGATCTGGGATGAATCAGGTAATGATGTTTCCTTTCAGAAAAGATTATCATACCACAATTGACTTATTTTCTTAAACTACATGAATTAAAAACTCAAGCCCTTGTGATTTCAATCACTTCCCACTTTTTTTGAAGAAAGAGCTGACATCATATATGAATATGATGTGGGTTCTTTTTTCATAAGATGAGATTGTTCAAAAGCAATCTGAAGTACTTGAACCAGTATATCTGCATGGTTTGAAAAATTTTTGTTTAACAGTCAGATTTCCTTTTTACAATTCAACTGTAGTTCATTAATTAGAAGAAATCCTTAAACAAATTATACATTAATTATCTCAACCCAGACAATCACACTACTTTTCATGGACTTTGCAGTTGAAATCTCATGCAATACAAAATGGTTAATATAAAAAAAAACCTTTCACCTTTAGGTATTTATTTATCATTCATAGGAAAATACTCATCAGATACAAGAGCTTACTGTCCTGAACCAGCAGGATTTCTATTCAAGAATAAAATCATTCCATCATTAATCAATAATCGGCCCATGTTGATTGAACTTCTTAACCACTGTCTTGATTGCTAAAAAGGTTAACTGTCCACATTATTCATTCTATATTTTACATTTCCCTTCTCATAAGCCTCGGGTGACTGTCGATGCGCCCACCGATAATTTAGGTTATCCTAAGGAAAATCAACAGCCACCACTAGCAGAAGGACACTCTTACATCATCCTTTGGCAAATGAAGGTGAAAATTAAAGATATGTAATAATTGAGTGAATATATAAACATTAGATGAATCAAAGGTTCTTTTATAGCAAATGCAAGTTCCATTGAACTGTCTACTTACGATCTTCTTTCCACTGGGCTCAGGTGATGATGGGAACTGGGGAGGTTGATCAATAGGGGGGTCAGAGCTCTCCTGAACAGGCACTATAAAGAGGTCAAATGGTTGATAATTTGAATGTTTATTTTTATGTTCAGTAGATATGAAAATATTCACAGAAAATTTTTTGATTATTCCCCATGATAGAACTTCAACTAATTTTCACTCATGGTGAGGTTTACACTGAGTCTACAGATGCATAATAATTGCAAATTACCCTTTCTTCAGCTTAACCCTATTTAACATGTTACTTCTCCCTGTAATATTCACACATTATCCAGCAGACAGGTAGTGAGAATACTCAAACTTATCTGGTAGAACTTTTTACCTTGATCTAACACCAAATACTCATAACTAATTTACAAGGAAATGAGTAGCAGCTAGTGGGGAGA